CATACCGTCATCAAAAATATCATGAATGTTTTGCAAATCCATAGTGCAAGTTAACAAAAATTGTAACTAATATCAAAAAAAAGAAATAACAAAAACAGAAAAGCAACAACTATATAACAATTAATAAAAACAGGAAAACAACAATAACACAAAAATGACAACAGCTCACAAATATATTTGACAACGCACAAAACAGAAGACAAATACTTACTGAAGAATATTCTGCAAAATTTGCCTTTTATATACAACAGTTTTCTTATGTTTACTGTATTGACCAAGTTGTTCCAACTATCCTTAATCACTTGTTAATGCTTCTACTGTCATGGTTAATTGTTTCTGCTTCTGATGAGATATATTTTTAATGTATGTGTTTCCCTATGTTTGCTGTACCTAATGATGAAGTTGTTCCAACTACCTTTCCTTAACAACTTGTTAATGCTTCTATTGTGATGGTTAATTGCTTCTGCTTCTGATGAAATGTATTATTATTGTATATTGTTGGTTCACTTTAATTACTAATGATCAGCTAATGACGTTCTTATCACTACTCCAGCTAAATTGTGTACATTTTCAAATTTCTAATATTTCATCACATGCTAAATACTACTATTGGAATGTAAATAATCCGTACATTACAATACAATAACATAAACGATAACACACACTAACTTCCATTTAATAATAATTACCATATTGCTTATTTTATTATTTAATAGTAAATATGATAATAACCTCTTTACTATAACCATGTTATTTTTTTGTTCTCGCAACGAAAAATACCGAACTACTGCCGAAATTCTTACGACAGACTTAAGCAATGCTTAAGTCAGGAACATCCTTTGCTTAAAGTTAAGCATCTGTTTCGATTCTTAAGCTCGACTTAACTTTCGGTGCAAACCATTTTCGTCTTTTAAGAACTACTTAAAGCTAAGTAGTCCTTATTTACGTCGGTGCAAACGGGCATCAGTATACGAAACTCCTACCCCTACCATGCTGATTATTACTGATCATTACTGATCAGCTTCTTTTTTTCTATACAAATACTCGTCAAAAATTCAAATAAAACTAAAATAACCACTAATTCTATTAAATGTTAATAACACTAGTTTACAAAATTAAACTTTTTGTCTGTTGCGAATTTCATAGTTTATAAAACTTACATAGTACATGCTAGTTTCAAATCTACCAAGAATTTTTGTGCACCTCTAGTTGCTGCAGTATTATTTTTTATTATTCACGTAGTATTTATCGGTTGAAAACGTGCATATTTTATCTCGGATCACTGCATTAGAACTATTAACTGATTTTTTTTTTGTAATGAGTGGTTCAAAGAGACGTTGCTTAAACAACCCAAATCATGCTTGTTGCATATGTGGAGAGTATGTGTTTAAAGTTTGCAGAAAAAAAATCTGAATTCATTAAAAATGCCTATTTGCCTTAATTTAGCATGTATTTGGATAAAAATGACAAGCCCTGGGCTCCCGATTGTGTTTGCAAATCCTGTGTCG